AGTATTGGAGATGAGCAAACTGTTTTTTGATTGCTTACATTAGATTTAGATCCTAGGTACAATTATTAACCTAAACTTGCGTACTTTATCATCGCCATATCAGTCGTTAACCGTCCACTGGTGGACATAAATTTTCCCCATAAGAGAATATTTTCCAGTAGTTGGCACGCTTGGCAGGCGGATTGGAAACCGTAGCTTTATTTTAATAGACGGAAATGGAATGGTAACTCCGCCTGCGCTATCGGTATACGTTGGCGTGCCAGCTGTGAGGGATGATAGGCGAGGATGAAGCGGGTCAGTTGGCCCATTGTGATGGGCAAAGCAATAAACTGAGTTGTGATCATTTTATATTACTATGGCACACGCATGAAGGAAGGGAAAGAAGGGAGATTGTTAGTTTATATATTTAGTTTTTTTTTTTGTTTTGTGTTTTTTTATTTTCATTTTTTATCTCCTTTGCTGTGTATTATGTGTATGTTTTTTTTTATTGTAATTTGTGTGCTGTAAGTAATGTAAATAAATTATCTATCTATCTAAATGATAGTTTCCAGGGGGAACTGCGTGGAGATCGATCTGTTAGGGTATATTGGTAGTAATAGGCGGCAACTGCAGTTAGGATTTTAGATATGTTTTTAATAGAACACTGCTACCCATCCTTTTACTATTAAGTCCCCTTTACGACACCCACAGGGAAGACCCCTTTCTTATTCTCTATTCCTAGTCATATGACGTGCAAAATTATTTAATATTTTTTTTTTTTGTTTCAATTGAATACTATTACTTTCTACTATTTTCTTTCTATCGTTCTTATAAACGGTTGAATAAAAAAAAATGTTTGTTTGATATTAATTATTTATTTTATAATAAAAAAAAAAATAGGTGGTGTTTATTAGTATGATTAAACACTATGCACTTAATAATAGTGATTTTATTATAACCTAAACATATATTCAAATTAATAAATCATGTAAAACGTGTCGGGTCGCGGCCAAAGCGTCCAGAGATGTCTCCGTCGATTGAAACATAAAAGAGCAAAACCTTAATTATCACGTATTATAACAGTCTCGCGCCAATACGTTCTGTGGACCGAAGCGTTGTAACTCAAAAATTTATTTTTTTAAATATAAATAATTTTGACTATAATGTGTATTAAATTTGAACTTACTATATTACAAGTTCATATCTATGTATAATAATTAACGCTGTAATTAAACTTTTAAACATGTTTCAGTGTTCGTATTTATCAGTGTTATAACTTATATTAATTATGATATTTACATATTTTAAAATGATACGCAAGAAATCATGACTGTCTTGATAGAAAATGATGATGTTGCCATGAAAAATATTTTTCTCATTTTCACATACTGTGTAGTTCACAGTACCCATCGTGACATTCATTTTTATTGACTGAAATTGTATGTATTCGTATACCCGATGCATGAGATTTATGTATTGAAGAATAACGTGCATTTTAGTAACAATAACGTAACAAACATGTAATACATTTTAGGAATTTGAGTGACTATGCTATAGTCGCGTTCACGTTTACGTCGATAAGATCATATGAAATTTGAATTTTCAAAAATATATAGCTAGTAATATGTAGTCTGTTTAAACATGATTCAATAAATATAGAAGCCATGTGTTTGGTGACTCTGTGTCACTTGTATTTCTGCTTTATTTGCATGGCTGTGTTTCAGTTTTAAGGGTGGGATATGGCAGGGGAGTAATAGTAGTATAGTAAGAAGGCATAACATTGTAGTCTTTTGGAATGGCAACACATCAGGAACACCATGAGCATCATAGTGTATTCTACAAAGGCAGTGGTACTGTTCATGTCCATAAGCGATAGTTGTCACTATCCATCAGGTGGGCCAGGAACTTATTTGCCATTCTGAGTATTATAAAAAAAAACAGATGACTATAAAACAGTCTAATAGATAGATTATTGTTCCTTTCAAAAGATTACAATAGTAAACTTATTATAAATAGATGGATACTAATAGTAATATACATTTAAATTCGATTAATTGATCGAATGTTTCAATTTGTTATTAATTTCATTCTGAGGGTGTTTCTGAAATTATTTCAACAAAACTTGGTTACATTGTCATTAAGTTTTATTATGTCAATATTAATTTCTTAAGAAATTATTATAAACAAATGAAAAATATGACATAATTTTGTATATTTCAAGACAGTGATTTACAATAATTTTGAAAGCTCCTTGATTGAATTGTCAATCAAAAAAATCTGTGAAGCGCAAAATTTTCAAAAATGTCATTTCTTGTGTATATATTGTTTTGTTAAAAACGTCAATACATCAATATCGGTGGAGGCGCAGGGTAGGGGCGTGCTCGGGCGGGCCGCACTGGTAATTACAGGCATGCGGGCCCTCGGGCCGATGTATGCGCGCCCCTGCCCCGCGAGCGCGCAAATTATTTAGTAATTTTAATTTTATTTGGACTTATAATCCTTTACGTTGTGGGCGTTCGTAATCACTTCTCTTTTTTGTGCATAAACACTGTTTAGCTGTATTTGGCAATTGCGTGTGGTATGGGACTTTAGTATCGAAATAATTGTGATTTATTGATAACGTTGGGGCCGAATTTGAAATGTTGGTTCGTTCCATATTCGTCTTATGGCGTCTCATCGCTTTGTATATATTTACCTTATAATAATTTGACGGCCTTTGCAAAGCAGTGATGGTGCATCGTTTTGCGGTAACGATGTCTCGAGTTCGATTCTCGGTCGAGTCAATTTAGGAAACTGTATTGAATTGTTTTTTAATTGACACGGGTCTGATTGTTCAGGGTTGTGCTTTCAGATATTTATTACCTGTTTCCACATAATATAGGGTATTCTAGTATGAAGACAAGGCCATTTGTGTGATTGTTGCCAATAAAGTTGAAAATATAGTTAGAACGACATTTTTTTATAATTATATATAGGTACTATTCTTAAAAAATGTGTAGCGGATGGTTGCTGTAGTTTTCAATAGTATTGTTTAATTTTGTGTTTCCTTCATTTATATTATAAAGTTTTGTGCAAATTTTAGTGTCTGTCAAATTTTTATTTGAGTGTGTAATTACGTATTGTTATAGCTGTCTGTTTGCCTCAAATGAATAAATAAATAAATTATCCAAATTTTATAAATTTCGTTGTATACCATACACTGAAATGAACATATATTCTCTATCTCTGAATGACATTTTAGAATCGATTGCTAGTTGCTTCCGGCAGCCGCTGGCTCCACTCTGCAAAACCTTGCTGCTTGCTGCACTACTGCCTAATCGCATTACCTCCGTGGCCCACAGTTTTACCATCTGACGGGATGTATGTTTGTTTGTCAACGAAAATTGGTATAAAAAACTTGTGTATCTTGTACTTGAACTCATTTTGATGTCTATTTCTTACAATAAATAGGGTTACAGTCATATTTTTTCTTTGCTATTTTTTCTTATTTATGCTTATTTTTAGTCGCAACTTGTGGTTCAGTGGAAATATTTAAGTTATTGTTACAGGTTTCAGGCAACGATCGTTACTTTCCAGCGTTGTCTGTTGGTTTATTTCTCACTTCTTTATTGTTATAAATAAAAGTTACTTTTTTCTCAACATTTGCTAACCTGGGAATCGAACTTAAAATCTAATTTGTGCGAAGAATATTGCTTCTATTGCGAATGCTGTTGTTGCAAAAATTAGATTAAGTTCTTACACGTATACTGTATACAGTACAGTAACTGTATGTAGTTACAGACAGTTACTGTATATACAGTACTCAATACTGTATATTGAGTAGGTACTCAATGTACAATATTGAGTAGGTACCTATTAGAATTCAACAATAAATATTTTTATTTCCATTTTTTTAGTTTTTTATAAGCCGACTTTGAAAAGAAAGAGGTTTTCAATTCGGTTGTATTCTTTTTTTGAATTATTTTTTTTTTTATGTTAAAAGACATACTTTTAGATTGGTCCTATAGAAATTTTATCAACCTTGCATAACTTTTTTTTGCAGATCAAAATACACTTTAATTTGACACTAATAATAATTATAATAGGTACTAGGTATGGGTAAAATCGGTAGCGCTACAATATCTATTATATTTGTTTGCTCTGGTTATTGATGGCGGGAAAAAGGTCATAACAATAATCAATCAGCTGGACAATCAAGATCTGATCCTTCATTTCGATATTATAGAATAGATCATCATCGTCATCATATCAGCCTTTAACTGTCCACTGCTGAACCCCATACGAAAACTTTTGCTAGTAATTGCCACGCTTGGCAGGCGGGTTGGCAATCGCAGTTCGGCTTTTAGAGGTGTTTTAAGAGGGTCGCTGCTGCCCATCACTCCACTCTAAGCTCCCTTTGTCACCTCTTACGACACCCACGAGAAAGGAAGGGATGGTCCATTCTATGCCGGGATCTACACTTTTTTTATACAACTTAGAATGGCAAACAAGCTGACGGCCCACCTGATGGAAAGTGGTAACCGTCGCCTATAGACATGAGCAGTACCATGGACATACCAGAGTATACTGTTTCGCTCATAATACCCCCCATGCGTTGCCATTCCTGAGGACTCAAGTCTTATTCTTCATCGCATGAATTTTTGGAATGCTCTTGTAGAAATTATCCAAATCAGTTCAATAGGGGGGGAAAGGGATTGTTAGTAATGGAGATTGGGAATCCCATTGCTAGCAATATACCCAACCAGGTCGACCTCCTAGCGGTTCTCCCTGGAAACTATCATGATTGATTCCTGATGAATTCATCATGATGGGCTAACTGGCCTGTTTTCATCCTCATCGATCACCCTTCACTGGTGCCCCGCCAGCGTATCCCGTTAGCGCAGGTCGGGTACTATTCCATTTTCTACTAATAAAAAAAAAATCAGTTCAACAGTTTTTAAATTGAAATAACCGGTTTTACTATGATTGAAATGTGTCTTTTTTTGTGGAACAAAATCTATTATTAAAATAAAATACAGAAATGTTTTAGAATATAATTTTTATTGTTCTTATAAATTTTCTTATAATTAGGAAGAACTTAGTTTCGCAGTGCGAGTGTCTTTATCTAAATTACTAAAATTGCAATGCAAATTAAAATATTTCAACTATTAGTACAAATATAATGAATGAGACGAGACACATTCCTTAATTTCTTACAATTTATACAGATAACGTCAACTTTCATTACACTATATCTTATTACTCTAAACAACATATAAAAATAATTATTACATGGCTATATCTACAGGCTTAATGGAAGTACTAATGTGTCGATTAAATTGACAATTCTTTTGTTAATTTTAACTAAGAAATATACAAAAATAGTTACAAATAAATAATAATCTTTTACACAGGATCGCTACCTCTATGGTACACGGATTTATTTGGAAGTCAACAATAGAACGTCGTTTTTGGAGTTAGGACCATCTTACATAGCACCAATATAATATTTTATTATAAAATTATATATCATTTAACAGCCTTCTCAAGAATCATAACATCAATTCTTAATAAATACATTCGATTTAAATCAAATCGTCAATGCTTATTATTCGAGTAAATTATATTTTTTATTTACATAGGAAACCGTACAGCTCTAAATTTATAAACTTTCAATGTTAGTTTTAGAGCATTTTCTTTTTCATTCAATAATGCACCTTGTGTACATGAGAATACAATCAAATTACCATATAACAGTAGGGTTATATTTTAAAGATCGAGACAGTGTAATCTTTGGGCTATATTTAGGAAATGTCCTTAAAATTCCTATCCCATATTAGTACTATCTAGTCAGTTGCTGTAACAGGTCTGCCTGACGCCTGCCAGGATCACACTGAACTCGTCTTCGGGCCTGACATCAGCGCCAGTAGGGGCTGGTGCATACGCCACGGGTGCTGGCGTTCCTGAGATCACAGAAGCATAAGGAGATGGGTACATCCTCTCAGAACAATATTCTGGCCCTGGAGGTTGCTCGGCACAATAAGGAGGCCTGTACCCTTGCTGATGCTCGTACCGATATTGTTGCTGCTGGTGCTGGTCTACAGTACCTTCAGGGGCATAGTCCAAGTATTTATCAAACTCACGAGCGTCAACATCGGAATCCGGCGAACCCGTTCTCATCTCTGGCCGTTGGTTCATAAAATTCGGATCTGTATCTGGACCCGAATTCGTCGGTGGTTCTTCAGAGAAGTATGAGCTTCCAGTATCATACTCAGTTTTAGGCTGTTCAGGGTAATGAGAGACATAAGAATCTTCAGTTTTATACATTTGCTCGTATTGTTCGTAAGGATGATATTGGATGCTGTATTCTGAAGGCATTGGTCCGCTTGGGGCAGAAGATACCCTAGGAGTGCTTGTGCCTAAGGCTTGCTGATCTTGCGACGTTGCGACCGGTGGGAAAAAGGTACCAGTGACCAAAGGTGGCTGTTCGGCAGCATTTCTCTGCGTACACATAACATACATCCCGTTAGCCATACCCATGGCTGCGACAGGAGCTGGCGAGAAGGAACCCGGCGTTCTATAGGTTTTGTAAGGAGAATACGAATCAGAAATAGAAGAAGCATTTATGGCTCTTCGCCTTTCTTCGTATTGAAAGTTTTCTTTTTCATTTTCCACTGGTGAGGCATCTGGTGTGGGAAGAGGCGCTTCTGCTGGCGCGCTTCTCCTACCTTGCGGCTCTGGGGACCTTGCGGGAGATGATTCAGGAGTTTGGACATGACCGTTAAATTGACCGCTTTGGAAGGAATCCGAAGCGAGCGGAGAGGTTCGATACGGTGAAAAGCCTGCTCCTGGGTTATGAGAGAAGCGTGTATCTGGAGAATCTGTGGCAGTTGCGTATGGAGATCCCAAAGCGGCCGACGCTGACGGTGGTCCACTCGCAGGGGTCGTTGGCTGATTGGGTCTGGTCTTATTTTGTTTTCGTCGTCTTGGTCTGTACTTGTAGTTCGGATGCTCTGTCATATGTATGACTCTAAGCCGTTCCGCTTCTTCGACGAACGGTCTCCTATCTTGCGGTGTCAGCGAACGCCATTTTTTACCTGGAAAATGCAAAATGAGTAAATGAGTCGATTGTTATGTTAACTAGCTTGTTGTTACACGTTTTTATTGAGCCTATAGAGAAAATATATGTGGTCGCTATGCATTATGGCGCTTTTTGTAGCTCATAGACAGGTTATTTGTCATCGCTATGTATGTAGTTGGTAGCTACGTGAAAATTAACAACGCTTATTAATAATGTCTTATTACAAATCCAGATAACGTTTCCAAGAGTAATATCAGTGGAATGTTTGGTATATTAAATAGACAGACTGTCACAACGGCAGGCTAAATAATCACGATAGTGTTTTATCAAATAACTATAAAACACGCGCCAAGAGAGTTCCATAAATCTCTGAGCAAGTGGAAAGAATAGTTTTTAAAGCAATATTGACTTTTTGGTGCTTTGAATAAAGTATAAGTTGGTGTGCACAAAAAAAGTGTGAAGGTCTAAAGAAAAATTATCAAGTAGACTGAACAAGCCATATTGATATTTATCATCGCGACACTACTTGCTACTGGCCAAAGAAACAACTTTACTTCTAGTGAAGAGGATTTTTAATAATAACTTATCGATAAAAAAGAAATAGAAGTTATGGCAAAACTTGTTACTATATTGATATTCATCATAATTTTATATACCGTGGAAATTGTAGGAGGATGTAATATATAATAAGTAATATATTATATGTAATTATAAAGTGTAAATGTTAATTATCTACAATAAAATACTAAATATGTTATTTAATGATTAGTTTTATTAATTAAACTTTAGTAGGTAGATACTTCAGGTGAAACAAGTTAATTATATTATAATTTGACATTGCAATATAGAAAATATTATAAATTATATAAAATGAATAAAATAATTAATATAATTTATAATATTATGTAAATCCAATATTATCTATCTAATAAGCCAATATTATCAAATTAAATATCAAGATTTAATTTGTATTGATCATCATCATCATATCAGCCTTAAATTATCTATTGCTGAACATAAGCCTCCCCTTTTGGTTGCCAGTAGTTGCCATGCTTGGTAGGTGGGTTGGCAACCGCAGTTAGGCTTTAAAGATGTTTTAAGAGGGACACTGCTGCTCGTCCTTAGTCCAACAATTTATATTGATACAGAAAGAGAATTCAAAATATTTTATAGACACGGATAATATCAAATAACTGTAAACTTCCTGAAAGAGTAGGATATTTTTCAATTAGTAGTAAATTGATAATGGTTTGATTTCAAATTTTCTTTCCCTATGTCGATAATTAGGCTTCTTTTGACGCTTACGACATTCTGTGAATGAAAAAAAATTATTACTGGTAGTCTAGGTTTCTCTAGTATTTCTTTTTATGATTATTTATTTATTTATTTTATATGTTAATTATTTTGTAAATAGTAATTCCTTCATTCCTATATACAAAATGATTAACTTTTTATTACAGTTTATTGCTTTACCCCATAGAAATAGGTTTGGATTCTATTTTTATTATGTAATTTAGAATAGCAAACAAGTTAACAGGTCACCTGATGGAAAGTGGAAGCAAAAAATATGTTTATTTTTGAAATAATAGGTTTTTTTGATAGTGAGATAAAAAAACAAAAAAAAAAAAATAAATAAAAATAATAGAGGTTAGTTACGCTTTTAAGACATGTGATTATTGTATATATTTTTGTACAATAATAAAAATGTAACGAAGGCTAATATTTTTACGAAATATTGTTAGAAATCTAGTTTTTAAATACATGCGGTACTAATAAACACTGAAAACAAATGGTCTTTCAAATTCTATTATATTTTGTAAATTTGATGGTGTATAAATGGCCAGATTTGATAAAATAGGTTATAAAATTATCGTCTAAAGGAGTAAATTTTTTATTTTGTTTTAGCATTTTTGATAAGTAGGATCGATTACTAAATAAATTAATGAGGTAAAAAATAAAAGCTGGGAAAAATGCTTAATTAACGAATTGTGACTAAAAATATTATAATACCACGTGATAAAAAATTGATGTGACTTATAGCTATTTTAAATATTACAATTTGCATTGCATGTAGGAAAAGCATTCGTATATTAATGCTTTTTCTACCAAATTATAAGTGTGTTAGAAAAAAAAGTGTATTAGAAAAGGCGTATTTAATAGATTCTTATTTATAAATAAACCACCTGCGAATAAACAATAATTTTACAGTTCAAATGGAATCGTGTTTCGATCAGTTGAAATGTAAGACCCACAAAAAATGACAATCAGGTATCAACTCGGCCCACTTGACTGATGTCAAATGTCAAGTTGACAAATGAAAGGAAGGGGCTTCCTGTAGTGTATGGTCGTAGTCCATTAGTGAGGCGGATTATCGATGTTTTCTTTATCGATATTATAATTAATGATTTATTATATGGCCGAGATTAGTGTTGTCAGCGAGAGGTTTTGGGTTAGTTTTTTTTTGTAGCAATTTGTCTTGTCATACTTTTTTAAATGAACTGTGTAGTTGAAGTGTTGTTTACGAAGTAACTATTGATTTGAATACGGTGATTTGACATCTAAAATTAAAGTGGTTGCTCTATCAAAAATATGGAAATTCTTTCATTCGAAATCTATTTGTCCGGTTCGTATGAGATTTTTGAATTATCATATAATATTTTTTATCTATTGTATGAATTAATCAAGTGTCCAGATTAATGATCACGACAGACCGACTACCGGATTCCATTATACAGTCGCTACACTCTATCACATTGAGAAATGTCTCACGGCCACACAACGTCTAATAAAGCTTTTAGCATTCTATAAGCCACTGACCCTTGTCTTTTGTGATATACATAAGCGTATATCTTCAAGATGTGATAGTTTGGAGGTAAAAACTTATACTTTGAGGTAAGTGTTCAGCAAATTAGACATAAAATTAGTAGAGAATTGAATTATTTGGTACATATTGAGAAAAATGAAATAGTAGAAAAAATATTATTTGCTTTATAAATATATTTGATGAGATTACAATGTAAATAAATTAACAACACGTCACGTATTGTCATTGCTTCTCAATGCCTTATCCCCCCAGCTACGGCCATGCAACTAACAAATTATGATTAGATCATGGACTATTCTATTCTAATCATAATAGTTATTACAATTAAATGCGATCAATTAAAGTTATATTGAAAATAAAAAAATAAATAATAATAATTCAAAATAACAACAAAATAAGCAGTTGTCCGTTTTAATAAAAATGTCGCTTGTATATCTTAGCATTAATAATATCTGATTTCCACCTATAAAATATTTTGCAAATTAATCTAATTCTTATTAAAGAAGTATCTATTGAAAAATTAGTATAAAAACTTATTTATTACCTGCTAAACATTTATTAAAAGCCCGTGTTAGACCACCGGTCTCGTAATGAAAGTAACCGAACACCAAGTTATCTACATAATTGAGTGGCATCGATAATACTATAACCGTCGGCTCAGGTGCGCAGGCGCATCGGAACGGAAGCGTTGGACGTAAATTGAGAATTATAGATGTCTAGTCATCGGAGACTTAGGTGTTTATGTTGTTTCCTTTATTACTCATATTTTTGTGCAACTCTGAATGGCAAAGTTGACGGCCTGCCTGATGGAACGTGGTAACTATGACCTATAGACATGATTAGTAACAAGAAAATTAATATACTGTGAGATTCGTGTCTTGTTGCCATTTCTGAGGACTAAGACGGCCGGAAATTTTACTATACTTCAAACTGAATTAGCTATATTATTCTGTAAATTTATGTACTTCATTTTGCAATTAATTTCACATACGCTTTCAGTTCGCTTCACTTTCATTTCGCTTCAATTAAATTTTCAACTAATTCATTGTTATTTTCTGTAAGCTTTGGGAAGTAAGTTTAGTTTAGTGAGTTTTGGATACTAAAATGAGTACCTAAGGATGGTTATACACTAACTCTAATTCACTATTCTGATTAACGGAATAGTGCTGTCATTGATCTTATTTGAAAAAGGAATACCAGTTGTAAATCATTTGCTAATCTGCTAATGAAATTGGAGTTTGACTAGATATAGGTAATGTAAGTACTCTTTTAATATTTGTATTATTCTTACCATTCTGGACATTAATGGCGGGAAAAAGGTCATCATCCCTTTCGATATCGTCCAAATCTTTTAGATATTCATATTAGTTTTTTTTTATACAACTTAGAATGACAAGCTGATGGCCCACCTGATGGAAAATGGTAACCGTCGCCTATAGACATGAGCAGTACTATAGACATAATAGAGTATACTGTTTCGCCCATGATACCCCCCATGCGTTGCCATTCCTGAAAACTCAGGTGTTATTCCTCTGTACCCAGTAAATTCACGCCATATCCCACCCTTCAAACCGAAACATAGCCATGCAAACACAACTGTTTCACGGTTGAAACACGAATGGGACAGAGGTACCCAAGCAATCAACTTTTGTACAAAGTCTCCCTCTAGTTTCAAATGGGTGCTTTATATCGACTTTATATATTGGATAACAGAAATCTTTAATTCTTTATTGGGCCAATATATAAATATTTTAATTACAATATGTTGATTTTGGTATATATTACCTATACCTAATTTATACTTTATAGAGTATAACTCTTTGGCAATACAAATAGTAACATTCACTAATGTTACTGTTTCACTAAACTAATAATTAAAAATGTTTGGTAAATTATTGAGATATATTTTGCGAAACAGTATACTCTGTTATGTCCATGGTACTGCTGTCTATAGGCGACGGTTACCACTTTCCATCAGGTGGGCTGTCACCTTGTTTGCTATTCTAAGTTGCATAAAAAATATGTGTGTGTAATGAGAAACACTCGTAAAGCCTATCCTTCTTATATACTAGCTGTATGTGGTGGTTTTGCTCGTATCTATTAGAATTAAAATTAACAGATTCTATGTGTTAATTTAGGACATGGCCCAAAATCTTATAGACTTATATATACTTAAAAATAATAAATAAAGC